TTTTTTCTATATTTTCTTTAGATTAATATTCTATCACAATTTTAAAACTAATAATATTCGCTGTAGGATTATTATTGTTATAAAAAAAAGAAACAAAAAAAAACAGATTATCCATAATAAGTTACTACTCCAGTAATCTGTAATTACGAAATATTTCGATAACTTTTTGGTGTCCAACGTAGTTTTCTAGTTTATTACTGCAAAGAGGAGAAATGTGTAGTGTGAAGCACACGAAAATGGACGCTGTTTAGAAAGGTATATTCAATAAAATATTAAGTTAAAATACATTTAAATTGCTTGATTTAGCCGTAATTGATCACAGTGGCCCCGCGAAGAAATTTAGCTTTTCCGTAAGTTGTGAGAAAAATAACGAAACACAGCTGATTCAGCCTCATTGCGAGTGTCGTTTCGAGTACGAGTGTGGTTCGGGAGTCGAGTTCGGCTTTTCTTCGCCCTTTCCCATTGGTTATTGTCGTCTATTGTGTGAAAGACACAGGGATGAAAAATGGAAATTTCAGATTGCTCCTAATATCGTAAAATAAATGCACCTAAATGAGACAGATTGTATCTAAAAAAAAAAGTTACATTATTCGTATGTAGTAAAATTAATAGAATGTTTAAAAAATGTTATCATATGCGGGGAACTTTATACCATGTTCTGACCGACAACGAAAACACTTTGAAAACGAGTTTTGGATTTGTGGGCTGAAGGCTGTTCACACCGGCCGTTAGTGTTTTCGTTGACATTTCTTACATCCTCTGATTGCAGTTTTGCTACACAGACACAAAACCAAAATGCTTTTCCCTCATTTTCTTTTCATTAGCAACCTCTTACTTTCATTTTTATTTTAGTTTGCCCAGCCAATTGACAATAAATACGAAATAGCGTATTAAAGATGACAAAATACGACTTCCACTTCGATAAATAATCGAAAAAAAACTAGTGAAGACACCGATTGGAATGAGTGGAACGTGAGTTTTCAAGTAGTTTTCAGAGAAAACTGGTTTTCGTTTGACAGATTTTACGTGGACGAAAACACATGTTTTAGGGCGAAAACCAGTTTTAACAACGAAAACTTGTTTTCGATGTCGGTCAGAACATGGTATTAGCTTTTATGGTTTCAATAGATTAAAAAATGCATTCCCTCAATTGCAAAGGTAGAGCGCACAGTGGGACAAAAAA